ACTGAGAGAGAGTACACAAGTCAAACTGTATATCCCAAACAAATGTGTTTGTTGCTTCAAGATTAGTCCAAGCTGAAGCACTGGAAGGAAGGAGGTCCCTCTCCAGTAGTATGTACTCCAAAGGCTGCTGGTCCCAGTTAGCCAGGCCTCCTGGAGCCCCAATTCCTTCCTCTTTGCATTGCTGAGGCTCTCAGCAGATTTTATGGTTTTCCTCCAAATCCTTTGACTATCATCAACACTGAGGCTGATAGGATGGCTCCTGCCTCCTCCTTGGTTCACCCTTGTCCACTATTTCCTTCCGTCCGTCCTTCCATCCATCCATCCATCCATCCATCCATCCATCCATCCATCCATCCATCATCTTCTATTTAGAGTGCAGGATCCTGGGACAGGGAGTGTCTTTCCTTTTTCTATTTTATCCTGTTCTTGAGTGGCAGGTATTTATTGACTCACAAATACACAAAGAGAATTTCTGCCCATTATCTAAAGGATGTGGTTGAGTGAATCTTTTTCCAAGCTGCTTAAGTGTGAGCCCTCACTTCTGATTTAAACTGCAGCTTTTAATTTTTGATAGGTAAAATGAGAGGTTTGTGCCTTGTGAGCCACACTGGGCACCCACACATGGCATCTCCACAACAGGCTGGGCATCACCACTGGGGAATCTCTTTATCTCCCTAGGTGCAGGATCCCTCACATCTCTCATGATCAGATGGTCACTCTGTGCTGTTGGATTTCCTGGGGATATTTGAGACCTGGGTGATTTGCACCATTTTGTCTCTCTCCGTTTCCCCATGCTCCTCTGCTATTTTTTTTTTTACACAGAGAAGAAGAAAATAAGATCCAAGGACTCTGAGGGATACTCATCCTCTGCAAACAGAGTGCAGCACACACTCAGATGGACGTGGGCCTGTCCTGGCTTTTGACATATTTTCTGTGCAGACAGAGCTAAGCTTAGTTTCACCTGTAAAACTTGCCATTCACATGAGAGGATGTTTCAGTTAACTGATAATCCATGATGATGACTTATCTGTGAACCTTAGTTCCCAGAAGGTTTGAGGAGAGTGTCTGTAGCCTTTGGGAATGGCTGACTTCCAGGCTGTTTTCTGTACCTCAGCTTTAAAAGAGTGGAAGTTATACAATTTGGGCAGTTCCTTATTTGTTTTGAATCAGCTTTCCTCAATTTCCACCACCAGCATCTCATCTGGCTTTGGCATGTTTTTAATGTATAGCTTCAGCTTGCACACAGAATTGCAATTTTCAGCCACACGGTGCAAGATTTGTAAGTGGTAATTGCATCAACTTGGGATCAATGGAGCAGAATAATATCTGCCCACTATTAACGGCTTAATAAAGTTAATAGTGCTGGCTTTGCCATGAATTACTTTAAAATAGAGATTGTAGGATAGTAATGTAAACAATCATTGATTTTTCTTGCGAGAGTACTGCAAATTAGATATGACTCTCTTCAGTGTGTAGTTGATACCAGACAATGCAGAAAGTGCATCTGAGTACCTTTAAGGTGGGTGGAGAGGGAAAAAGTGAAAGGGCCCCTGTGGCACTGGAGAGGTGATTAGATAAATGAAACCAGCCCAGACTAGAAGATGAAAGCTCAGAGCCTCCTGGTACTCGATATTGCTGCCATCCAACCTGACCCAATTAATAACACATTAGTGCAGGACAGGTCTGTTCAATGGTTCAGATCTGTTAATTGAAATAGTGTGATTAATGGCATTGGAGGGGATGAGGAATACTTAGAAAAATGACAGGAGTCTGCAACCCTCCAATGGAGCTGATGCATTACTCGAGGGTGAGGGAGATGGGAGGTGGCTTTTCTTCCCACTGAGATCCTGCCAGCATCCCAGCACTCAGTGCCAGAGCTGGAGGGCTGGCAGCTGGAAGAGCCAAATCCACCCCCAGCCCTGCCCACAGGCACAGGGGAGCTGTGTGGGCTCCGTGGGCCTGTGGGGTTCCCATGCTGGTGTCTGGCTGCATCTGGATCTGGGGCAAAGGCATCTGGAGTGAATGTTGGGCTGGGCATGGAGTCACCCATCTCATGGGGAGCAGCACCCCCTGATACCCTTTGGGGACACTGGGGCCCTGGCAGCAGCATGGCTCTGTTCCAACACTCACACACAGCCAGCATCCTCACTTCTCCTTCCAGAGGCCAATTTTCCTGTCGATTCCAATTAACCCCAGTGCTGACATCTCAAGGACAGCTCTGGAGGTGGCTTTGCAGAGGAGCAGCAATTTGGAAATGTGTCGTGGGGCGGAGATGGCACTTTAGAGCCCAGCCTTAATTACATCAAATGGCCAGAAAGAGCTGTGCAGGGGTTTGAGCTATTGCCATTTGCAGAATGACTCTGCTGCAAGATTCCCTTCAGTCCTGCTCTTGTCCTGATGTCTTTCTTTTACATCAGTGCCTGTGCTTGAGCTATGGGCTCAGCACAGGGGCAGGTGTGTGTGATGCACATCCTGGGTGTTTTCCCAGCAAAAATAAGCCTTCCCTTTCTTCTCCCTGTTAAATATACACCCTGCAGCTGGTGCATGGGTGTGTGATGGAGGGGGCCAGCGGGCTTTTCTTCCAGGAAGGCAGGGCAAGCTAGCAGCTCATCCCAAACAATTCCCCCTGGCTGTAAGGAATGAAGCATCATTTCAAGATTTGCTCTGCCTTGGTCCTTTCTGCTGTTTCCATCAACCCCATGAAAGCTGAGGGGGAGCTCTCCCTCTGTGTTTGGGTCAGTCATGCTCCCACACCTTCCTCCTGGTGCATGTATGGCCCTGAGAATTCATGCCCTGTTTGAAATACCCAAATCCACAAGTTTTTGAAGGACAGTGTGGCTAATGGGGACAGTTTGGGCACCTTAATTCCTGGCAGAGGCTGCAAGAGCAGCAGACATGCTGTGTTTGTTTTCCAGTCCTCAGAGGGAAAGCGACAGAACTTCAAGAGCAGCAGCAACATCAGGGAGAAGAGGGTTCAGAAGGACAAGCCAAAGCACAGCTTTTAACATGGGGAATAATAAATGAATAGAAAGACTCACACCGCCACAATAAAACATCCCTTAAATCCTTTGTTTTCATTTTGGATGATAAAGGAAAACCATTAGAGCTCAATCAGTCACGAGAGACAGGGGTCCTTCTGCATTGCACCGGCTTGAGAAAGCGCCTCCTGTTCAAGAGCCCATGCAGCGAGGGATCATTAAATATCAAACACTTTGTTTGTGCCATTTGCATTGCTCAGAGTGCCCTTGTGCAGGATGGAGACTTCACAGAAAGAATTGATGTACGTGGATTTAAAGGCGCCTGGATCTCTTACAACAGGCAGGGAAACGGAGAGGCTCTAAGCGGCGGCTGCAGGTTCTGCTGCAGCAGCACAGTGGGGTAAAAGAGGAAATAAAAAGGGGAAGGAGTCACAGACGAGTTTAGATGACCTGACATGAGGACATAAGGGTTTTGGGTACATTACCTTTCACTTGGGGGTGGAGAGGAGGGAACCAGGTGGATGGCAGCCACTGCTGGACATGATGAGGCACAGCTGTGCCACTGGTCCCAGCTTGGCACTGGGGTGCTTCCTCCCTGCTGTGCTGGGGCAAAGTGCTGCAGCAGGCCATGCACATGAGCACGAGGCCTTTAAATATTTATAATGCAACAGATGGTGTCGAGTTGCTGGGCAAGAGGCTGAGAAGGTTCCCAAAGCCCTCTGCACACTGGCCCTGCTGCAAACTCTTGTTTAGTGGCTGCTGGAACTCTTGGCAATGTCAGCAGAGGGCTATGGCTTGCACTGAGCAGACAGAGGACACCCCAAGAGGAAATAAAGGAAATAGTCCATTTAAAAATCTTCCTCATCAGAACAAGCTCCCCAAACCCCTCTCTCCTCCCAGAAGTGCCTGTGCTGCACAGAGGCTGTGATTTGTTGGTGTCACCATGGGAAATGTGAAGCACAGCAGCTGAGCATCACTTGCTGCTTTATTACCCTTTCTGCTCCCTTCATTTCTTTGCCAAGACTGCAAATAAAAGAGCAGACAAGGGTGGCTGTGCCACTGTCCCTGTCCTCAAAATCAGGGTGGGCAGAGATGGCCAGAGAGGCAGAGCCTCAGGATGTCCCTGCAGAGAGGAGCTGCTGCCAGCACAGGGCACAGAGTGGGGACAGGCACAAGGGCTGTGCCTTGTTTTGGCACACGAGAGCCTGTGATGGGCAGAGAGAACAGCTCCAGGTGTCACCTCAGGGACAGGTCACCCACTGGGGACAGGCTCTGGCACAGGGTTACAGCAGGAGCAGGAAGGACATGGGGTGGGGCAGGCACCAGGAAAGATGTTTGTGCTGCCACAGGAACATGGACAGCTCTGGAAGGAAAAGCCTGACTGAACCTGCCCAACCTAAAGCAGAAGGGACTTAGGGATTTAATTTTTTCCTCTCTCTGCAATTTTTTCTTCCCTGCACGCAGAGACTGCAGCAGGCTAAACAAATAAGGGGCTGTAATGTAATCTTAGACATATGCTCTTGAATTCACATTTAGAGTGCAAACCATAATATTTTGGTTTATTATTTAATTACAGAGCTTGTAAATGTAAATGGATTTAGACCCTTAATTTTAGGAAGCTTGAATTACCTTCCATTCCTTGTTTAATATTCAGGTGGAGAATTTCCATGTCTGGCTGCAGCATGTTTGGGGTGTGCAACAGAGCTGGGTGAGCCAGGCATTTTCACCACTCTGTCTTCTCATTTGTAGGAGTTGGGCCAAATTATGTTTTGCTGTAAAGTTTCTAAAATTAATTAAGTGGCAGAGTATAAGGAGTTGGTTTCAGTCCTTTTTCCCCCAGCAGCACTTTGCAAACTGTGATAACCTCCTTGGTGAGAGCCAGGAGGAAATTGAGCCCCCACTCACCGTTTTTTCTTAGGCACCTGAAAAGAAAAATCCTGTATTTCTGGAAATGTTCCCCTATTAAAAATTGTTTGCCTAATATTAATTGTGTCAGACAAACTCTCCCCAGCTTGAAATGTGAGCTCTGTTCCTGCCCAGTACTGGGACCATGAGTGTCATTTTGAAATTTGTCAAAAGGTTTGAGCTTGTATGTGGGACTGGTGCTGGAATATGCCAAAGAACTGCTCCTATTCGGTGTGACTGAGGCTTCAAAACACCAAAAACTGTGTGGGAACTGCTTTTGAGGCCTCGAGTCTGAGCCCCCTGGTCTTGTACACAAAACTCCTGCTTGTTCCCTGCTGAGTAAATAATTTCTCCATGAGAAGAGTCTGTGGAGGGCCATGCCAAGGTCAGTAACATATTCTCTGGATGTACACTAAGGAATAACTGTGTAACTTTTCTCTATCCTGGTTTTAGCAAAGCCTGGTGGCGGGGTTTTTTCCCTTTGTAATTTCCTATGATTGTAAACTGCTGCATTCAAGCAGATATGCATCTGGCATATGGATAGACAATACAACATAAAATAACAACCATCTAATTCCTATTCATCTGAATTCACCATATAAATAATCAGAGCAAAGCACCTGGAAAAGGGAGGTGAGGGGGCTGAGCCCATCAGCTACAATATGCAATAAACAGCATAAGAAGATGTCAGACCCACATGATGGGTCAGTCTTGATCCCTCACTGCAATTCAGTAACATGAAAATTCCCCCCATTTGAGTCTGGGCTGTTTACACAGCTGCAGCATAAATATTTAGATTTGCAAGAGAAACGCTTGCTCAGCTGAAATCGCTCGAGGTCTCTGGAGTCAGCAGCGGGGGGTGTGGAGAGGCCCAGCATTTCCTTGGAAAAAAGAGAATCGATAATAATTAGAGCAGGGAGCTCTGTTTCCACAGAGAACCCAGCACTTGTGTAAAACCATCCTGGCTCAGGTTTTTCGGGGGGTCTGGGGAACGCCCCGCGAGGGTGGGCGAGCGCTGTGACAGAGCTGCACGAGGGCCACGCGTGGGGACCTCACAGACACAGGGGTTGTACCTGGGGGTTGGTGGGGAGGGTGCTGATGTCACTCAGGGTTGGAGGTCCTGGGGGAGCCACAGGCACCTCCATGGGACAAGTTCAGCCTGTGGGACAGCAAGGAGTTTGCGTTTTGTGTCTGTCAGGTGCTCTGTAACTGAGGTGCCTGCCATTGCCCTGGCCAGGAACTGTTGTATTGCCATTAATTGCTTTTTTGCCCTTGCCTTTTGCTATCATAAAGTTGGCTGTGGACCCAAGTTCATCTTTTCCCACCTCTTGCCAGGAGAAAGGAAGGCTTTCAGTGCTTCTCTGTATTACACAGACAGGTAAAGCATCCTCCACCCCAGAGAGGGGATGGAGAACCAAGTTGGCTCCTTCCCACTGAGTGATGACAGCCTCCTTTCTAGAAAAAAATGTTTAAGTGGATTTTTCATCAGGTAAACCCTCACTTTAGGAAAACCATAAGGTATAGCAGTTATTAAAAAGATGATTTCTACTAATGCATCTGCTGCATCTTCATTATGATGTCAGGGCATCTCCATGAAGGGATTTGCAGAGGAATCCAGCCATTCATTTCCACACATAATTCCTCAATAGCCCATTTGCTTCAAAGACTTTTATAGACTTTTACTACTCCATGAATCCCCAGATACTTATTTTTTAGGCTTCAGGGGATCCATTGAAAAGAAATTCGTTTTCTGAAGTTTTATGACAAAGGTTTTGCTCTGGATAAAATCTTCCCATTACTTCCAACTTCTGTTCTCCACAAAGATGACTTTGGCAGGTCTCTTCCTACGGCTGCCACAGGCTGTGAGGCATGGGTAGAATTTTAGGTCCCAGAAATAAATAATATATTTCTAGAAAAAGGGTCCTTCCTTACCTTCACTGCTTTCAGTAGTGTGGACATTTTTCTACAGGTATACAAATGCACATGAACACCTGGGAGTGGGAACCCTCCTTGTTTCCATCTTCTTCCTAGCACCATTATCTACCTCATCACTTGACCCATCTGGCACAGGCCAGCCCCCCAAGGGATGGCCAGAAATGCTCTTATAGATCCCCCTTGTGCCCCAGTCCTGCCTGAGCAGTGGTGCTGGGGAAACAGCAGCCAGCAGCAGCTGGTGGAAAAACCTGAGGGTAGGTGGGATGTTGGCCCCTAACCAGCAGGATCCACCTGGACAGAGAGGCTGTGGAGATGGTGAAACTTAATAAGAAACAGGCAAAACTAGTAATAATAAAAACCTCTCTCTCCATTTCCATGATCCTAGTGCAACATTTAAGCCACACAAGGGCAAGGCAAACTCACAACACTCGAAGAACATTTCATACATCAAGTGCTTTTTTTGGAAAGGAGCCAAGGCTCTTCTCATTTTGCTTTCCTAAGGATTGGGAATTTCCAAAAGCAAATCAGATGCCCTGAAAAATAGGCTAATGTGAGCGTGGGGATGTCACACATATCCACTAGCAAAGCAGGCAGTCAAGGGAGTCCACAATCCAGGTGTTCCTGGTTGTGTAGCTCTGGGATAATGGTGATCTGTGTAAGCTGGAGCAGTCAATGTGCCTTGTTTAACAAAAATATAAACTGTTTGGTGCAATCCTGCTCCTGCTGAAGTCCATCAAGATGGCATTTCACTGCTCCAGTCTTCAGTGAGACACTGAGTGAAGCGGGGTGATGGAGATGAGGCCAACAGAGGGTGAGAGGGGAGGATTAGAGGAGAGCAAACATGGCCACACCAGCCAGGCTCCAGAGGCAAAGCCAGATGGTTACACTGCTGCAGCATTGACACAGCTAAAGGAAATATTTAGCTGGACTATTTGCCATGAGGTGTCACTGGAATTTAGAACCAACGTGTCCATCAAAGGAAGGGTGCAGCCAGCACTGGGCTTTATGAGGGATATAAGCCACCACACTTCAGGGAGTGAGCCAGCCATGCTGGAGGGAGGGGAGCAGGACAGATGCTGTGGGCAGGCAGGCAGTTTCTGGCTTTCTCCATGGAAAAATGTGCTGGCAGAAGCCACGGCTGGGTTTGGTGTTAGTCTGCCCGTGCGGTGCCATGGCAGTGCACCAAGGATCACCGCTGGCAACTGGCTCCTCATGGAGCTTCTACATCAAACCAAGCTTCTTCCTCCCTCCTGCTGGCCTGGTCTGTCAGGGACATGTCCCTGTCCCTTTGCCTGCCCTGCCCCAAGCATTCTGGCTGGGCTCCATGAGCAGCAATGGGACCACAGTGAGTCCCATGGAAAACTGGGCAGCCATCTCACCCCCCTGCACCTGTCCAAAGGACATCTCCAGACCTTCACAGCCCGACAGTTCTGCCTCAGAAACTGCAACTGGCAGCAAAACAAGGCAATTAGCCATAATCACCCTGAATTATCACAAGTCCTCCTCCATCCTGGCTTTTCTGCCTCTCCTCCCCCCAGAACTTTGCTCTCTCATTAATCGAAACAGAACCTTTCTGTCACCACTGATTGCATCGTCCAACATCAGCTGCCTGGAAGGATAAAAATAAAAGATGGAAAGTGTGTGCTTTTGGTACAAATAAATAGGTGCCAGAGAAGGTAATTTAATTATGCAGTGATTGAATCAGGTGGAAGAAACTGCATTATGCCCACAAAATATCTGCCCTGATGATGGATTTGAGGCATGGTTGGCCAAATGATGGGGTTTTGTTGGGAGGGCTTGGAGCAGCTCCCATCTGAGCTGTCTGGAGCAGCATGCCATTGTGGATGCCTCATCTCCCCCCCCCCCCCCCCCCCCCCCCCCCCCCCTTCTTTTTGGCAAATTTGGCTACTGGAAGAGTGAGGCTGGCATTAAAATGCTCTTGTTGTTCACTACAGATTTTCTGTGCAAGGAAAAATTACTTTAGAGTGGATGAGCCTGATGTCTGTGCTGTGTCCCTCCATTACTGCACCTTCCATGGAATTAAATGGAACAAAATGGAGCAATTAATGGACAAAAAGGAAAAGCTCATCATGGATGTGTGCTACGGAATAGTAAAAGCTATGAGGACTTTATATGGGAGGGAAAAAATATGGATTTATAGCAAATAAAGGGTTTCAGGGAGGTCCCAGAGTAAAGAGCCCTTATGATGTGCCACAGCCCCAACACACCTCTAATTAGGATGAATTTCCCTTCTGCTGGAGTTAATGCATTATGTATTGAAATAATTTGTGTTCATTTGTAGCAAATAATTATTTAAAAATGTTATCATTCATTTGTATTGTTTGAGTTCTCTATTAATTCTATAAATAATTGTTCAAAAGATTGTGTTGAGGTTGGTGGAAGGAATTCCTGTTGTGTTGCTGACGTGCTAGAGCAGCTCCCTGTGGTAAGACCAGCTGGTGAATGATGTGTTTGCACCAGCAGAGACCCAGCCTGAGCCCTCCATCCCCAACAGCTTCCTGCCCCTTGGTGACAAGGAACACACACCAGATCACTGCTGGAAATCACTAGGTGCCTTAAACTTAGTGCTTTTCTCTTAATTTTTAGGTAATGCTCTTATTTCTATGTAAAGCTGTACCCCTGTCCTTGCTTTCCCTTGCTGTAAATTTTCTGTCCCATGACTCCTAAAAGAAAAGCAATCTTCTTAATCACAGCATTTCTGAGCACAAACAGAGGTACAAGGTAAGAGGTGCAGGGCAATGAGCTCCTCTGTTGTGTGCCCTTCAATCTGGCTTGATAAATGGAGATTTTGCCAGGAGATTTTTCATGCATGAGCATTAAAAGGGGAGCAAGGCTATTTTCTTTCCTTGCAAGGAGAGACAAAAGAGCTGTGCTTTCCAACTCAGCAACATTAGTCTTTATTTCAATGGGGGGGAATTAAATAAATGAATCTGAAAGCGGGAAGGAGGGAAAAGCCTTCAGAACAGGATTTAAAAGAATTCTTCCTGGGGTTTTTCATGTCCTCCTGCTGTTTCAGCCAAGTCCATAAAGCATTAGGGAAACACATGGACCCTGTAGGCTTCCCACCAGGAGCCCCTGGCTGTGCATCTGACAATGTAACCCAGCAAGCTGCCAAAATTTTTTAAAAGTCACCTGTCAATTAGCAGATTCTCTCTGAAGAATTTAGTCTAGGTAACTTAAAACTTTAGTGAACTTAAAAGCTCACTATGTTTAATTTTGATCAAGGCTTTAATAACATCTGGCTGGATTAGTGTGTGGGTGCTCCTGCTCCCAGCAGTGGGGCTGGAACTGGCCCTCCAGCACCCCTGGTTGCTGTGCCCGAGTCATTTCCCCCCCAGGCTCGTGGGTTTGCAAGTTCAGAGGATGTTGTGTGGGTTCAGAGGCTCCTCTGGGGGCTGGGGGGTCCTGCCAGCACCGACCCCCCACACTGGTGCTGAGGGGTGCGAGGAAGGTGGAGAAGCCAATCCTGACAGAGCCGCTGTCCTGGACTGGGGCAGGACGGCTCTGTGGGGTGGCCGAGGGGCCAGTGGGGTCAGGGGGGTGAAAGGGCAGGGGATGAGGTCTCAGCCCCTCTTGCATCCTGTGCCATCATGTTGTCTTTCTGTGGTGGGGCTTCTCTTGGGAAGGCATTGCACACCTTGCACCAGAGAGGGATTTTGCCTGCCCTTAAATCACGCAAAGATGATTTAAGGAACTGAAAGCTTCAAGCCAGGGCTTCTAACTGAAAAGACACATTGATTTTTTTGTAGCTGATGGAATGAAAGAATTACTGTGGCACAAAAAAAAAAAAAAAAAAAAAAAAAAAAAAAAAAAAAAAAAAAAAAAAAAAAAAAAAAAAAAGGAAGCAAACTTTGTTCAAAAGCCACCTTGGCACGTGCTGTGCATCAGTGGGACTGGTGTTCCTGGGCCAGGATCCTTCTGCAGCCCCGACCTGCACTGACATGCTGGCAGGGTTTTGGGTGCCCTGTGGTGGGAGCAGCCAGGGCCCAATACCCAGAGGAAAGCAGGGTAACAGTGGAGAACCAGGTTGCTCCTTTTGGGAGCGCAGAATCTCTACCCCACTCTGGGGTTTGGGGACCACACTCATCCCTTCACAAAGGGATACACAGCGCAGTGGGCAGAGGGTGGGGAAGCAGTGGGCAGGGCTCTTGCTCCCGGGTCTCTCCAGCTGCTGGTAGCAGGGTGCTGGAAGGCTCTCCTGCTCTGGAAGCATTGGTTTCCCTGCTCTGGAAGAGCTGGTTTTCCCCGGCCGTGCCCCAGTGGCCCCGCACGGGTCAGTCGCTGCCGTCCCGATGGATGCTTCCTGAGGCTCCCCGGGCTCTGGGGAGGGTCCGCTCCGCCTGCCCGGGGGACAAGGTGGGAGAGGGCAGCACATCGCACAAAAATGCCCTAAAATGTGTCCCCAGGGTGCTCCTGGCGCTGGCAGCAATGCTGATGTGGCGGCTGCGTCTCTCCGAGAAGGGACGAAGGGCAGGAGGCTGCGGGACCCGCAGGGCCGGGCTGGGGCGATCCCCCGCGGGAGCCGCTCCACATCCCCCGGCTGTCCCTCTGCCACATCCCCGGCTGTCCCTCTGCCCAATTCCCCGCCTGTCCCTCTGCCACATCCCTGCCTGCCCCTCTGCCACATCCCCCGGCCGTCCCTCTGCCACATCCCCCGGCTGTCCCTCTGCCACATCCCCCGGCCGCCCCTCTGCCACATCCCTGCCTGCCCCTCTGCCACATCCCTGCCTGCCCCTCTGCCACATCCCCCGGCTGTCCCTCTGCCACATCCCTGCCCGTCCCTGTGCCACATCCCTGCCTGTCCCTCTGCCACATCCCTGCCTGTCCCTGTGCCACATCCCTGCC